TATATATATATATATATATATATATATATATATATATATATATATGTATAATAATCGACTCTCCCGTCGAGATTCGACGTATGAGGTCAAGCAGATCAGTTTCAGGAAACCGACAGCCCGACAGCGGCATATAAGATTTGATTATCGTGGTGAAGGCTTCGTGCAGGACCATCCACACTTTTGAAGGGCCGAATACAGAGACCTGGTGCACCGAATGCCACAAGTTTCCCAAACGACCCTCCGCAGGTTTTGAATATATATATATATATATATATATATATATATATATATATTCGAATTATATGTATTCGAATATCTTCCAGTCGAATCTATTACATTCGCTTATGTTCTAATAATACCCCTGGGAAAGTTATAAATCCTCTCAGTCTCCCATCCCTAGCTATGGGTAAATAGCAGGACAAACTGGGTTCTATAGCTTTGGATGGCAACCGCCTAGTCTATGTGAAGGACAACTCTGAAACCAAAACCTGCGCATGGTCGTTACACTATAGCATCACCTCTTCACATTCAGGCTATATACTTTTCAGCCCACACTCAAATTTATTAAAATTTTCATTCCTTTTTTTCCCCCTTAAAGAATCAAGGTTTGCCTTCCACTGATTGCTACCAGAAACGAACACAAAGTCGAATTTTTAAGATCGGCTCGTTGAGAAGCACATAAAGACTATTTTGGTATCTCTAATTCCGGACTTCAAGAACGAAGTTAATCGGCTGGAAAACAAGTAATACGTTAACAACATCAGCATAGCCGTAAATAATAAAATTACGGAATTCTAAAACTACGTACACAACCCTGACTGTAGATAATTTCGGCTTTGGGGTCAACAACTTTTACCGTTTTCGAATCGGAAGTCAAGAAAAACAAAAAAAGAAAAACATTGAAATCAGGGCCTAGCATTCTATTATCTCAAATAAAAAGGACTTGCAAATTTTGGTTTAGGGGAAGAAAGGGTATAAAAAAAGAAAAAAAGAAATCTCCGGGTATTGGAAATCTTTAAAATCTTTGCGCTTTGAAAGGACCGTGTCGCTTATGGTCGGTCCAAAATGGCCAGATAGTTTTTAGGTGCATCGATAGGAAATTATCACTGAAATAGATTTAAAATTCAAGAATAAAAAATAAAATAAATGGTATAGCTTTTGCTTAAAACAAATGTCTAGTAATTTCGAATGCCATGTGAACCTTTTGGGTATCATTGCTTGCAAATGATTAGCAAAGAATCTCTTAGAGATCTCCCAATGTTCAGCAAACAAACGATTACGGTCCTCAAACACGTTCTTCCTCGTGGGACTTTAAACAGTTTTTTTTCTGAATTCCAAGGACCACTCTGCGCATTTACGCTACAGAGAGCGATGATTGTCGCAAGTCATACATAGAAAGGGAATCTCCATCTTCTTCGTCCCTTCAGCACACAGACGATTATGGCTCTCCACAACTTCCCATCTTGTGGGGATCTAAAGAGTTTTCCCCCAATTCCAACATCAATTCACACAAATGACCTTTGTGCGTATTTACACTACGGACTGCGATAATTGTCACACGACATACATAGAACATCTGTATGTTACTCGTCCCCTCGGCAAATAGACGATTATGGCTCTCCATAACTTCCTACCACGTGTAGATCTAAACATTTTTAATGGTGATTACGAAGATACGGAAGCTCGGAAAACGCATTCTAATCGTTCTGATAAGAAAAGAACTTCCGAAATTTTTGGTGGGCCTCACACCCAATACGGAAGCCTATATCAAGTTACTTGTGAAGGTAGTGCAGCCCTGCTTGAAAAGAGTGAATGCTAGAAGATCATATGTCTGGCAACAGGATTCTGCACCATGCTACACAAGCTGGAGAAATCAGTCATGGATGTCAGACAATTTCTGCGACCATATCGCCCCTTATATCTGGCCATATAACTCCCCAGATTGCAACCCTCTTGATTATTATGTGTGGGGCGCAGTTGAGATGAACTGAAGGTAGGTATTATGTCAGCATTCACCAACAAATAAGGCGACAGTCCCGAAGAGTGACAGGAGATTCCGAAGTCGTCTGAAGGCTGTGGTTGAAGTCAATAGGGATTTTATTGAATAAATTTCCTCTATAGTATTTCAAGATATTTTTGTGCAATTTTGTCAGTGTTGCTTTCATTTAGGTGACAATTTATTCATCGCACCCTGTATATGTCACATATGCGCTCAACATCCCCTTTATTTATTTCCGTTGAGCAGGCTTCTCCTCGGCGGCAAACCTTCGTTTCTCTT